AAGAGGGATTATTGGATAATAGTAAATATAGAAATTACTTTATAATTAAATAGAAAATACAATCAATAAAATAACAATAATAAGTAATACAAATAATATTATATAAAATTTTTGTAAAAAGGTGTAACATTACCGTTAAAAAAAAAATATAAACTAAATTATCTGTTAAAAACATATCCAATTTTCTTTATATCTCTTATAACATTTTCAAATTTATTTATGCAAAAAAAAAAATAAAACAATATAATTACAGAATTAAACTGAAATGGCAATTATATTTGATAGAGAAATTATCTTTTTTTTTTTTTCTGTTTAATATGGAAAACTCATTCAAAAAGCGATGAATATAACTAAAGACATTCAAATTTTACCTAATAGCAACAATTTAAAATAATAATAATTTTAGGAAATTACAATTCAATATCTCCCTTTGTGAGATATTCTACTCTACTATTTATAAGAAGATAATAACATTAAAGGGATATTCTTAGTTTTCATTGTTTCCCATGAATTGCCCAACCTCATAAGGAATTACTCAAAGAAATAAATTTGTTTTTTTTTAGCTTCCAAATTTATATTCTAATGTTTAAATCCAAACATTGCATTAAAATATTTATATTTATTATTTGTCAAGAATTGACCTAGCTACCACATGTCATAAAAGGAATACATTTAATAATCACCAAGTATAAAAAAAAAAATTTGAAAATAAGTAATTACAGGTCAAGATGATAATATTAAGAAGTAAATTTAAAATGAGAACATCCCATGCATCACTCTTAATATAGAAGTCAATCTCCAAATCACTAAAAAGGAAAAATTCAATAAAATAACCATAATAAGTTGTATAATGTATATTAGGAAAAAATATTCGTGACAGGGTGTAAAATTAATGTAAAAAGAATACAATCCATTCATCTGTCAAAAATTTATCCAGTTTTGCTCATATATGTGGCCCTATAAATACCATATCATCTCAGCACGCATAATCACCCACATACACAAGATCAATAAAGAATAAAAAACCACAAATCGATCTTGAGCACTTATAATAGCTTCTTCTTCTTTTCTCATTTCCAATCAATCTATATATATATATATATATCATGGCAAGAAGGAGATTAAGATTGGCATATATTGTGAATCAATCGAAAAGAAAAGCATCCTACCAAAAAAGAAAGAAAGGGGTGGTCAAAAAACTTAATGAGCTCACCGTTCTTTGCAGTGCGGATGTTGCCATGATAATGTATAGCTCGTTTGAGCAGGGGCCAGTGATATGGCCTACTGTTGAAAGGGTTCAAGAGCTGATTGCTAGGTTCATGCAGTTGCCGGACGTGCAACAAACCCGGCGAATGATGAGCCAGGACAGCTTTGTTGCGCAAATGCTTGAAAAGTTGGGCACTCAACTTCTAAAATTGAAGCAAGAGAACAGGGAGAAGGAAATGAATGCAGTGATGCATCAGATTTTTCGCGGAGAACAGATAGCTGATTATCTGAGTTCCGTAGATTTAAACGACCTGGGTTGGGTTTTAAACACGAATATCGCTGAAAGTGTTATGAGGTTGGTAAGAGATTCCCCAACTCTGGCTCCTCCTTCAGTTGTTGCTCCAGCAGATGTGTTTTCTGGGCAAAGCTATCAAAGCATGGTGGGTATGCAAACTGCCAATCTTAATCCTGCCCGGAATTGGGCTTTCAGTAATCAAAATGACCCAACTCAGGGGGGTGCCGGGCCTAGCACTTCTCAACAAAATCCTTAAGTCGTTTCTGCAAACTTCTCAGTGTTCATAACTACTCTTAATGCAAGCGTTTTTGTTTGTTATTTAAATTGATGCATTATATTGGGAATAGCCTGGCTAATGCATCTATATATTTTTATGTTATTTTGTTTTTTTTTTCTAGTTCAATTAATAATAAAATAAGCTGTCCTATTTATTTTAAAAAAAACTGGGTATAAATTTGAGTTGCAGAAAATCCTTCTCAGAATACATAAATATAAAAGATCAAAGTTCATATCCCTTTGCATTCACAAATTTCATTAATCAAAATGACCCAACTCAGGGGACCAGGGCCTAGCAACTCCCAAAATGGATATGTTTCTCTAATGCTGTAATGCAGTGCATTGCAATGCAAGTGTTTTTATTTGTTATTTAAATTGACAAATTTGAGTTGTACAAAATTGTTCATAAAATACATAATAAATATATCAAATCAAATTACATATCCCTTTGCAGTGATACAAATTATAATAGAAAGATAATAATTAACATATCTATTGTTTCAAGTATTAAATTACACACAATTAATTGGATTGTCAATTTCTGATGCTCCTAATGAGGATTTCCGTTCTCCATTACAACGGGATTGGGGATGGGAAAAATTTCGGGGAATAGGATCGGGGTACTGGAAATACCCCACCCCGCTTCGGATTCTTATAACAACAACTACAACAACATTATTATTATTATTATTATTATTATTATTATTATTATTATTGTTATTATTATTATTATTATTATTATTATTATTATTTTTATTTTTATTATTATTATTATTTTGAAAAATTTTATTATTTTCTTGGGAGTCTTTGCTTTGTTTTCTTTCTCATATATATATCTGGTAGTGCATGACAAGGAGAAATGCAAGTTTACCACCTGAAGTACCATTGAATCCTGAGATTGAATTACACTGAAGGAGGCAAAACGAACGAAGGAGAAAGGAGAAACAAGCGGAAAATGTACGTAGAGATGGCTCATCAAAACAACAATAATGTTGCAACCTCACATTAAAGAATTTGGCAGCACCAAGTTTTCACAATCAAACACTCCTACAAAATTGAGAATGAGTTAATATCCAAATTTGTCATCGACTATAGTGGTTTTTCTCAATTTCGTCCTACATGACTTTGGTTACCTAATATTGTCCAAGACTTTTGTGTTTCGCTCAATTTAGTCCTTCGTTTGTTATTCCCTCAAATTGGTGTTAAATAAATGGACAATTCAATAATATCAATATTGACCTCTCTTTACTTTCAACATGCGAAGTGAGAAATCCTTCTTTCTTGCACGAATTACACCCAGAATTACTCCCAGACCTATGAATCAAATTTTATATTCGCTGGTTTAAGAGTGATTTTGGGAGTAACTTGCAAAAAAAGATGGATTTCGCACTTCACATGTCTATGAGTAAAGAGATGTCAATATTAAAATAACTGAATTGTCTATTTATTTAACAACAAATGGACGGAAAAACAAATGGGGGACTAAATTGAGCAAAAATACAAAATTTTGAGACTAAATTGAGTAAAAAACACAAAACTCTGGGACTATATTAAGTCACCAAAGTCGTTTAGGACAAAATTGAGAAAAACCACTATAGTCGAGGATCATTTTGGGTATTAGAGAATATAATTATGACTTTCTACTACACCTTCACAATAAAGGTGTAATGGAAAGAAAAAGTAAAAAAAAAAAAAAAAGCGGTGGCATTCTAAGTGCATAAGAACACACTACACCTTTAATTAAAAGGTGTATTGAATTCGAAAATAAAAGGATACATGAAAATTTCCGTTGCACCCACTCGAAGGGGGTGCCGCGGAAACTTTTATATATATATATATATATATATATATATATATATATATATTTTGAAAATCGAAAACTTATATATTATAATAATAGCAAAACGTTCCGCGGCAGCCTCTTCGATAGGGTGCCGCGGAACGTTTTATTATTATTATTATTATTATTATTATTATTATTATTATTATTATTATTTTTATTATAATATAACCTCCCAACAAAATCCTTAAGTTTCTGCAAATTAAACTTCTCTAGCTTACCAAGATTGTGTGGTCTAATGGTACCCGGAATGGACTTTCATTTGGAAGGTTGTGAGTTCGAGTTTCAGTGGAGGCGTTATTTGTTCTTTGTGTTTCAGTGGGTTGAGAAAGTATATGAACAGACACTACATTGTAATAGAGCCAGTAGCATTTTCTCTAGATTACTGTGCATTCTATTGGGAATTGAGTGTTCAAGGTTCACATCCCTATATATTGTCAAATTTGAGTTGCACAAAATCCTTCTCAAAATACATAAATATAAAAGATAATCAAAGTTTATATCCGTTTTCATTGACACAAATTATAATAGAAAGATAGTTAATAACATATCTATTGTTCCATGTATTAAATTAGACGCAATTAATTGCAATGCAAATTTCCCAGGTTCGTCATGAGGATTTCTGTTCTCCATTACAACGAGTATGGGGATGGGGAAATATTCAGAGAACGAGGCCGGAAATATTATTATTATTATTATTATTATTATTATTATTATTATTATTATTATTATTATTTACTAGTATTGTTATTATTAATTATTATATGGTTGTAGATTGCTTGTATTGTATTTATATATTGGATGTGTTAAGACATTTTATAATTACATATTAATATTCATATTTGCGTTAAAATTATTTAAAGGGATGGGGATCGGGATGCTTGATGCTGCAAACAATAATGCCGACCTGATGATAATATAATTGTGTTGTATTCAATAATAATGTCGAGTACATGGAGCGAATGTATAGAGATTCTAGATTGAATCCTAGTCTAACACGAATAATATAGTCCTAGTCTAATATGAATAATATAGTCCTAATACTCTCCCTCAAGCAAAAGGTTGGCTAGCCAAAACATTGAGCTTGTCACGGAGAGAGTTAAAACGAAGAGACGATAGAGACTCTGTGAAAATATCCGCTACTTGATCCTTGGTTGAAATAAAGTGCACTTCTAACTCCTTTTTGGCTACTTCATCGCCAACAAAGTGATAGTCAATCTCAATGTGCTTCGTGCCGGCATGAAACACTAGATTGGCACATAAATAAGTAGCTCCCAAATTATCACACCATAGTTGAGGAGGAGATGCAGGCCAGATGACGATTTCATGTAACAGAGAAACAAGCCATGTAACTTCTGCAGATACATCAGCGAGTCCTTTGTATTATGCTTCAGTCGAAGAACGTGCCACAGTCCGTTGCTTCCGACAAACCCAAGATATAAGATTACTGCCCAAGAACACAACAAAGCCACTAGTAGATTTAGGGTCATTCGGATCGCTAGCCCAATCTGGGCCAGAATAGGCGTGAATATCCATAGGTGTAGACCGAGAAATCCGCAGTCCAAGATTGTGGGTGCCTTTGACATACCGCAGGACTCGCTTTAGAGAGGCCCAGTCTGTAGTAGTGGGAGCATGCATATGTTGACACAATAGATTAACATCACAAGATAGATCCGGACGAGTTACCGTAAGAAACTGGAGAGCACCCGCAAGACTCCTGTATTGTGTTGGATGGCATAGGGAACAACCATACTTTGTGATTTTTGCAGAAGAGACAAGCGTGATTACTGGCTTGCAGTCCACCATACCAGCACGTTTGAGAATATCATTCATATACCGTTGTTGGGATAAATGCATACCACCAAATAACGGGAAATTTTTTATTCCCAAGAAGAAAGAAGGCACACCCATATCAAGAACCTTAAACTCAAGTGCTAATTTATGAATAAGAGTAGTAACACGATCTGAGTCAGAACCCTTAATTCAAATGTCATCAACATACACCAAGAAATAAAGACGAATATTGTCACGAGAATAGATAAAAAGAGACACATCCGTCTTAGAAGGCGAGAAGCCCACAGAGACAAGAAAATTATGTAGCGTGGAGCCTGTTTGAGACCGTATAGAGATTTTTTAAGCAAACATACATGATTAGGTAACGACTTATCCTCATAACCAGGTGGTTGTCTCATGTAAACAGTTTTAGCTAGCTCGCCATTTAAAAAGGCGTTGTGAATATCGAACTGGCGAATAGATCACCCACGAGATACGACTAAAGATAAGAGAAGACGAACCGTAGTTGGCTTAACCACAGGACTAAAGGTCTAAAAAAAGTCCTCTCCAGCAACTTGATTAAAACCCTTGGCTACTAACCTTTCTTTATGACGGTCTATTAAACCATATATCGGCCTTCCGTTTGGTTCTTAAAACCCACTTATGACCAACAACATTCATACCTGGTTGAGATGGAACGAGACGGCACGTATGATTATGGACCAAAGCATTGAAATCTGCGTCTATTGCATCACGTCACTCAGGAAACTTGACCGCCTGAGAGTAACAGGCAATATAGTGGAAATAGTGGTTAAGGCAACATGTTGATGCGGGTCGGAGCTGTGAATGTTCAAGCTATGCGATCGAGGAGGCGGAGTAGCACGTCGTGGACGTCCGCGCGGCCTGCCGTGCTGCTCAACATGCTTGTCTGAGACAGTCCGCTCACTCGATGCGGACTGCTCATGACCGTGACTGGCATCACCGCCAGAAGCCGCCATGGGCTCGTGAATCCGCCGAGTGCCATCAGTAACCGTGGTCGAGACATCACTTCCTTGGCCCATCACAATTGGTGCAGTAGCCCACGGTTCGGAACGCGGTGTAGCAACCTGCGAGGCAATAGGAGAAACAAAGTGAAACACAGTCTCATCGAATCGCACGTGGCGACAGATAAAAACCTTGTTTGTGTTAGTGTCTAAACAACGATAGCTACGATAAGACAGAGGATATACTTGAAAGACACAGGGAGATGAACGAAACTGGAGTTTATTGCGATTATAAGGACGTAGGACAGGAAAGCACAACAGCCAAACACTCGCAAGTAAGAGTAGGACGGGGGAGATCGATGTAAATGGAAGTGAGGGGACTCATCAGACAGAACACGAGTAGGAATTTTATTAATTAGATACACAGCAGTTTCAAAAGCATAGTCCCAAAAACAAGACGGGACATGCTTGAGACAGTAAGGACAATCCTATCTCAACAACATGACGATGTCTGCGTTCCACTCGACCATTTTGCTCATGAGTATACGCACAGGATTTCCTGTGGCGAATACCCAGGGAAGAATGAGTGGAACCAAGCTTTTTATATTCTCCCCCAAAATCAGATTGAAAGTAAATAATCTTGCGAGAAAAAGAATGTTCAACGAGTGACCGAAACTTATCAAATATAGCATACAAATCAGATTTAGCACGCATGAAATAATACCATATATAATAAGTTTAATCATCCACAAACAACATAAAATATTTTTAGCCAGACACAGAAAGTAATGGCTCCGAGCCCCAAATATCTAAATAAATTAATTCCAAAGGATGCGTACTAGTAGTTTCGACATGAGTCAAAGGAAAACGAGAGTATTTTCCCAATTGACAAGAGGAACAGCCATTGGGAAGATCACTAGAATTAAATGTACCAATAGACGAAGATGTTAAAATTTTACGTAAGACTCGAGAATGAGGATGCCCCAACCACATGTGCCAAACGTAAGAGGATCGCAGAGCAACAAACGCAGCAGGAGGTGAGGAGGACGCAGGCCATATGTAAAGACCCCCAGATGCATGTCCCATAAAAAGAACCTTCCTGGTCAAAATGTCGTTCACATAGAAAGAAAGGGGGTGAAACTCAAAGAAAACATTATTGTCTTTTGCAAAACGCTGGACAGACAATAGGGAAGAAAAGAGACCAGGGACATGTAAAACATCATGTAACTTAAAAGACCTAGAATCAGTAGCTAACGAAGCAGAACTAACATTATCCAGTTTTGCTCATATATGTGGCCCTATAAATACCATATCATCTCAGCATGCATAATCACCCACATACACAAGATCAATAAAGAATAAAAAACCACAAATCGATCTTGAGCACTTATAATAGCTTCTTCTTCTTTTCTCATTTTCAATCAATCTATATATATCATGGCAAGAAGGAGATTAAGATTGGCATATATTGTGAATCAATCGAAAAGAAAAGCATCCTACCAAAAAAGAAAGAGAGGGGTGGTCAAAAAACTTAATGATCTCACCGTTCTTTGCAGTGCGGATGCTGCCATGATAATGTATAGCTCGTTTGAGCAGGGGCCAGTGATATGGCCTACTGTTATGGCCTACTGTTGAAAGGGTTCAAGAGCTGATTGCTAGGTTCATGCAGTTGCCGGACGTGCAACAAACCCGGCGAATGATGTGCCAGGACAGCTTTGTTGCGCAAATTCTTGAAAAGTTGGGCACTCAGCTTCTTAAATTGATGAAAGAGAACAGGGAGAAGGAAATGAATGCAGTGATGCATCAGATTTTTCGCGGAGAACAAATAGTTGATTATCTGAGTTCCGTAGATTTAAATGACCTGGGTTGGGTTTTAAACACGAATATCGCTGAAAGTGTTATGAGGTTGGTAAGAGATTCCCCAACTCTGGCTCTTCCTTCCGTTGTTGCTGCAGCAGATGTGTTTTCTGGGCAAAGCTATCAAAGCATGGTGGGTATGCAAACTGCCAATCTTAATCCTGCCCGGAATTGGGCTTTCAGTAATCAAAATGACCCAACTCAGGGGGGCCAGGGCCTAGCACTTCTCAACAAAATCCTTAAGTCGTTTCTGCAAACTTCTCAGTGTTCATAACCACTCTTAATGCAAGTGTTTTTGTTTGTTATTTAAATTGATGCATTATATTAGGAATAGCCTGGCCTAATGCATCTATATGTTTTTATGTTGTTTTGTTTTTTTTTTTCTAGTTCAATTAATAATAAAATAAGGTGTCCTATTTCTTTTAAAAAAAAACTGGGTATAAATTTCAGTTTCAGAAAATCCTTCTCATAATACATAAATATAAAAGATCAAAGTTCATATCCCTATGCATTGACAAATTTGAGTTGCACAAAATCGTTCTTAAAATACATAATAAATATATCAAATCAAATTACATATCCCTTTGCAGTGATACAAATTATAATAGAAAGATAATAAATAACATATCTATTGTTTCAAGTATTAAATTACACATAATTAAATGGAATGTCAATTTCACATGTTCCATATGAGGATTTCCGTTCTCCATTACAACGGGATTGGGGATGTGAAAATTTTAGGGGAACAGGACCGGATTTTGAACTCAATTTTTTTATTTTTCTTTGGAGTCTTTGCTTTGATTTCTTTCTCATATATATTTCTGGTAGTGCATGACAAGGAGAAATGGAGGTTTACCACATGATGTACCATTGAATCCTGAGATTGAATTACAGTGCAGGAGGCAAAACGCACAAAGTAGAAAGGAGAAACAAGCGGAAAATGTAGAGATAGCTCACATTAAAGAATTTGGCAGCACCAAGTTTTCACAATCAACCACTCCTACAAAATTGAGAATATAATTATGACTTTCCAATACACCTCCATAATAAAGGTATAATGGAAAGATTAAAAGAAAAAGAAAAGAAAAAACGGTGGCAATCATGTAATTAAGAGCATATGAATACACTACTTCTTTAATTAAAAGGTGTAGTCGATTGGAAAATAAAAGAATACGAGAAAATTTCCGTGACACCCCAATAAAAGAATACGAGAAAATTTCCGTGGCATCCACTAGAAGGGGGTGCCGCGGAAACTTGTATATATATATATATATATATATATATATATATATATATATACATATATATATATATATATATTTGAAAATTGAAAACTTATATATTATAATAATAACAAAACGTTCCGGGACACCCTCTTGGTTAGGGTGTTGCGGAACGTTTTTTTATTATTATTATTATTATTATTATTATTATTATTATTATTATTATTATTATTATTATAATACTTTTCGCGGCACTGCTCCCCGACAGGGTGCCGCGGAAGTTATATATTATAATAATAATATAACATTCCACGGCTCCCACCCCTGAGGGCGCCGCAGAAAATCACTAGTGGAATACTCCTAGTAGGATTCTTATTGTCTTTGAGTTATTTATCAATTGTTTGTATTATTATTATTATCGATATACAGTAAATACTATTTCCAGAAAACCTACTCTCATCTGCCCTATATTGCTATGTCTTTTAATTTCCTGCAATGGGAATGATACATCTATTCATGCGATGGTAACTCTGGTTTGACAATCATATCATACTTTTCTATTTCAAATTAAACATTAATTCAAAATTTAATCTAATTGACATTAAAAGTAATATGATTAATAACATACAATAAAAACCTTGGGAACCTGTATTTATTTTATAACAACCAAATCTAAAAATAATGAGAAATTCAACATATTAAACAAATTAATATTCTTTAGCATGCCCTTCAAACCAAAGCATATGAATGTTATAAGTTTCCAAGTAAACAAAACATGTAGCCAATTGTTGTTAATTTGCGATGAATGAAAGCTAATAGCAAGCACAAAAATTATCGAGTGGTGAGATGAAGAACTCAGGTGGGAAAGAATATGGCAGTATGCATTGAAAGGAGAAGAAGAAGATACAACTTAGATTATTCTGGTAGAGGAAGAATACAAGTAAAGAAGCTAAGGCGGTAAAAACCGTTACAACTGATTCTTGGAATAGTAAAGAAATCTACCCTTGATTTGTCTACAACTTCAGGGTCTTTATTGTCTAATACCCCCCCCCCCCCCCTCTAAAGTTGGCGCGTGTAAGTCTTGCGCGCCCAACTTAGACTTGAAAATCTGAAACAATGGAGCAGAGAGAGGCTTAGTAAATCCATCGGCTATTTGATTTGCAGAAGAGACAGACAGAAGTTTGATTAGCCCTTGCTATAGCTTTTCCCGGACAATGTGGAAATCGATATCGATATGCCTCGTGCGCTCGTGGAACACATGGTTCTTGGCTATTGCTATAGCCGATTTGTTATCACAGTATATATTCACTGGTTTTATCATTTCAACCTGTAAATCTGCATGAAGTAGATAGGTAAGCCACTAGACTTCACAAACTGTGGAAGCCAATGCATGGTATTCCGCTTCCGATGATGATTTTGAAACCGTGGCCTATTTCTTGGATCTGCATGAGATCAGTGCTTCTCCTAGGAAGGCACAATACCCTGTGATTGATTTTCGAGTCTCAAAGCATGTGTCCCAATCTGAATCCGAGAAAACTTGGAGCTGTAAATTTGTGTTACATGGATAGAAAAGACCTTGTCCAATAGAGGCTTTGATATATCTCAAGAGTCTATGTGTCGCTGATAGGTGTTTGTCCGTCGGAGCATCAACAAATTGGCTTAGTTGTTGCACGGCGTAAGCTATGTCGGGCCTTGTGGCAGTGAGGTATAACATTCTGCCTACCAAACGCCTATAGCTACTGGGATCAGCAATGGAAATTCCATCAATGTGAGCTAATGTCAAGCCTTGCGTCATTGGTGAACATGCAGGCTTGCATCCGAGAAATCTAGTTTCATCTAGTATTTCCAGAGCGTACTTTCGTTGACAAATGTTTAGACCATCAACCGAATATTTTGCTTCAATTCCCAGGAAGTAACTTAGACAGCCTAGATCCTTAATTTTGAAAGTGTTATCCATAAATTGCTTGAGCTCTTGTATTAAGTCTAGCTGAGCACTGGCCACTATAATGTTGTCAACGTACACTAACAGAGCAATAAATTTTGTTGCAGTTCCCTTTGTAAACAGAGGTGGATCGGATTTTGATTAAGTGAATCCAATGTGAAGTAATGCTGCATTCAACTTGGAATTCCATTGTCTGCTCGCTTGTTTATGACCATATAGGGATCTAAGCAATCTACAGACTTGGTGTGGTTTCTCAGCTTGGAATCCGGGAGGTAGAGCCATGTACACATCTTCATTCAAATCTCCGTGCAAGAAGGCATTGTTGACGTCCATTTGGAGAATATGCCAAGCCCTAGAAGCAGCAACGCTTAGAAACGTCTGGATTGTGGTTATCCTTGCCACTGGTGAGAAGGTTTCAACGTAATCCACACCAAGTTGTTGTGTGTAACCCTTGGCTACAAGCTTTGCCTTGTGCCTCTCTATTGTACCATCTGCTTTCAGCTTAGTTTTATACACCCACTTGCATCCGATAGGTGTCTTTCCTGGAGGCAAATCACTTAGTTCCCATGTGTTGTTTTCTTGTAGACCTGTGATTTCCACATCCATTGCCTTTCTCCAGCAAGGGTGTTTGATGGCTTGGTTGTAAGTCCTAGGCTCATCCACAGCAGCAATAGCCATTCATAAAACTTTGTGATGTGGAGTAAGGCCATTGTAAGAAACGACCTTAGAAAGAACATGAGGTGTCCCATCTTTTGCTACTGCTTCACAGTAATAATCGTGTAGCTTGCATGAGACTTGTCTTTGTCTGCTTGATCGTCTGAGGCATATAGGATGATCCGGTTGGCTTTCCCTATTATCTGTGTTACTGGCTGTTATGGGCTCGGGAATCTGTGAACGCGTCACTGGGCAAGACGAGGGAACAGTTGCTCTTGATTTCCCTATGGTTGTAGAGACAGCGAAGAAAACAAGAAAAAACAGGAATAGATTGAAGAGTTTTAGAGATCTTCCTCTCCCAAATGTCATAAGACAATTTTCCAAAATTCAAATTCAAATTCGATGCCTCCCTTCAGTCTTTCTAAGGATATATATACTGAAGGCTTAACGGTACTTAACGTTCATATCCTAAAAAATAGGAACTAAAAAAACAACTTGGAAATCTGAATAAAAATAAACAGGAAAGAGATTACTATAAATAGCTTGGCTTCTTATTCTTTTCTTTACTGCTTCCTTATTGTTGCTTGCGATGTCTGCGCCTGTGGTAAGTTTTTCCTATGAATGCATCATCACACCCCTCCAAGTCAACAAGCTTGTCAAGCTTGAATTCCGGAAACAACGACCGAAAGTGACCCAACAGTTCCCAAGACGCATCCTCCGGTGCGGCGCCAAGCCAGTGCACCAGAACTTCCTGAACGCCGCGGTTCAACCGGGACTGAGACACGATGTGCGGTTGAAGCAAAACCCGGCCATCGTGCAATGGGGGCAGGGCGGGTTCAACACTCGGCGGATCACCGTGAAAAGGCTTCAGCAAGGAGACATGGAACACGTCGTG